TTAGGAAACCAACCAGGTACTTCATTTGCACTTGTCAGTGACAAGTGAAAGACAGACATCTTAATCAGAGGCAGATATAATTCTCACTGTATCTTCTGATTGGTTCCTGTACCAATCAACCCATCTACATTGAGCTTTAGGCAACTCATGCTCCAATAAAGCCAACCACTGGATATTCTACTGCTATCTGGGGAAGAGGGAACAGAAATAAAAGATTGAAATCATGTCAGTGAAAAGAAGCACAGTTCATGCAGTTTCACTGACCATCCTAATAATCCTATATAAATGTTGAACAAGAAGTTTAGCACTTCCACAGAGAAATGGCAATTACCAAACACTCGTTTTTGGGAACTGTGAGAAACAGATTGAGGACAACCCTTTCCCTTCCGCCAAGGTCCATTCATGTGTTCCATAGAACCTTACTGTTGTCAGTGGTGTTGAAAGCATATACAGCCTTTATTCACTACTAGAATCCTGGTTGTAACCTGAGTTGACCAAAGAAATCTGAGATAGGTAGGTAATTTTAACCATGAAGGAAAGATTATGTATAGGACTCTAGGTAAACTGATAAATCAGCATTAATTTTTGGCATCTTGAGCTAAAATCTTATCTGTTGTTCTTTAAGAGAAGCCAGCTGCATACACTTAATTATCTCTGGGTTCACAACCCCCCTAGGTGCAGGAAGGACATGAATCCAGAACTAATGTTTGGGGCCCACAGATCAGCCTCTAGTACTTCACAGAGCATGACTGACTGAAACAGATGACCACATTTGTCCCCCCCCCCCAGTTGCCCTGCTTCCACAAAAGCAGACCGTATGTCAGAATCAAAATCAATAGCAGTTTCCTCACAAACAAAACTAGTGTCATCATCTGAGTGGAGTCAGTTGAATTGACCAAGTTATCCGTCATCTGAAAAGTCTGCAGAACAAGATTTGGTAGATGTTATATGCTGATATGCCATTCACCAGAGAGATGACAAGAGGGAAAACCATTGGGAACAAAACTATTTTTTTTTCCTCTCTAGTTTAAATCTGTATTAGTAGCT